TGTAGGAGGGTTCCCCTTTCTCCACATCCCCGCCAACATCTGTCTGACTTGTTAATTTTAGCCATTCTGACTGGTGTGAGGTCGTATCTCATTGAGGTTTTGATTTGGATTTCCCTGATGCTGAGAGATGTTGAGCACTTTTTCATGTGTCTGTTGGCCATTTGGATGTCGTCTTTGGAAAAATGTCTGTTCATGTCTTCTGCCCATTTGTTCTTTGGGTGTTGAGTTTAAGAAGTTCTTTATAGATTTTGGATAGTAGCCCTTTATCTGATATGTCATTTGCAAATATCTTCTCCCATTCTGTCGGTTGTCTTTGGTTTTGTTCACTGTTTCTTTTGCTGTGCAAAAGCTTTTTATCTTGATGAAGTCCCAATAGTTCAGTTTTGCCCTTGCTTCCCTTGCCTTTGGCGGTGTTTCTAGGAAGAAGTTGCTGTGGCTTGAGTGTAAAGTTTTAAAATTTCTGGAGCCCTTTGCATGGAGTCTTCTCTGAGATAAAATTTTAGTTTGCAGGCTGGGTTCTGCCACAAGCGGACTCGGAGATAAAGCTTAGTTTTCACAGTGTTTATTAGGGAGCGGCAGCCTTTGGACCAACACCTGTGAAAAGGAGAGAGAAGACAGAGTTGGGCAGAGGTAGGAGTCACACCACGATGCAGCTCCCCCAGACTCAGCCAGCTGCCTAGGGAGCTCGGGGACAGCCTGTCAGCATTGTCCTGCCTCCGTCAGTCAGAGACAGCAATTTGGAGAAATTTAAAAAAATAATAAATTACTGACATAAATATTTTAAGTTTTATTTATTTAAGTGATCTCTACACCCAGCATGGGGCTCCAATTCACAACCTTGAGATCAAGAGTCACATGCTCTCCTGAGCCAGCCAGGTCCCCTTTATAAACCTAAAATCACGACATTGTAGGTTCCAAAGGAACCCTAGAAATAGAACCCAGCGTCACAGAGCAGATAAAATGATGTAAGCACATCTCAGACAAACCTGGAAGTCTAGATCCAGGATTCTTTGCACAATACCATACTATCTTTGATTAAATTTGTATTTTCTTAAATCTGTCTTATTTATATTCTGTATTGCCTGCAGTTTATGACACCAGGTTCTTGTGCTTTGACGCTTGGGATAGCTGTCCTTTCTAGAGTAAAATGCAGATTTTGACCCATTTATATCTAGAGATTAGGGGCAAGAGCAATGATAATTATAGCGTTTATCCTCTCCTTCAGAGGTTACAGCTATTACTGTCACTTGTTTGTCCAGTTGCCTTCATCAGGTTTTTTCTGTATGCAGACTGTGCTGACTGGGTCCTCTTCTGAGTACAGTGGCAACAGTCCCCATGAAATTGCCATACTCCAGATAAAAGAATTACATTAAAATAGAGGGATGAGTAAGAGTCAGATAAATGTGTGTTAGTAAACATATTTCACATTTCCTTATAGTTGTATACGTTTATAGAACAACGCTTAATTCACATTCCTGCATGGCTGCTTTGAGTAACAGACACATGAACTGACCTACGTTAATCATTCATTAACACTCTTCTGTCCTGACGTTTTGAAATTACTCTAAACATCAAGTCCATAGCGCAGACAAGTACATAGGAAATGATATAGCTACATCTCTCAGCCATTTATTAAAGGCTGCTTTATCAATCTTACAATCTGTTAAGATTTTGAGTCTTCTGAAGGACCTGAGTTTCTAAGGACTTGAGGTTTGGAATCACAGAATTAATGTGAACAGCCTTATCACAGGGAAATGAAGTAATTTTGAAATAGCTTTTTGAAAATAGGTTGAGGATCCTAAATTAGGAACCACTAATCTGATTTTTTTTTTTTTTAGGAAGCTGCAGCACAAAAAGTGAAATTTCTCACAGTGTTCTAGAGCTTGTACAGAATTGGGACTTAGCATTTTGGTCATCTTACTTCAAGTTCAGGGTAACCCACTGTACCCCAGTGCCTTTCTCCCTCCCACATAGCTCTTACGGCGGTCTTTATGTAGACACTTTTTCTACAGAGCAATTTAATGCTCACCGAAAATGATGGTTGAGATGTGTGAGTTTTTTCACTTTCATGTTAAGATTTCTTTTCCTTCACTTTCAGAAATTAACCCTGCAGCATGTGAACAGTAATCAGTGCCTGGATAAAGCCACAGAAGAGGATAGCCAGGTGCCCAGCATAAGAGACTGCAATGGAAGCCGGTCCCAGCAGTGGCTTCTTCGAAATGTCACCCTTCCAGAAATATTCTGAGACCAAATTTACAAAAAAAAGAAAGAAAAAAAAAAAAAAAATAAGGATTGACTGGGCTACCTCAGCATACATTTCTGCCACATTCTTAAGTAGCAAAAAAGGAAAAGTGCTTTCCTCCTGCGGGGATGTAAGGTTTATCAGCCATTAAAACTTGGACTCCTCTCGCTTTTCACTAGCTGTGAACCAGCCGCCTTGTCTAAGGACGTGAAACTACATAGTAGCGAGACGTGCACACTGATGTTTACAAGATTGAAAGAGTCTCCCATCAAGAATCATGGTAAAGAATATTCAGACAATGAAGCAATCAACAAAATGTGCTTTCCAGAGCTGCACCTTGTACAGTTTGCTTGCACATCAGTAACTGCTACTGAATGTGCTGTCATAATGAAGAGATTTCCAGGATTTTTTTTCTGATTAGAACTGGTAACCAGTATATTAAATATTGTTATAAAAATAAGTGAAAAAGAACTGGAACCAGTTTCAGAATCATGAAAACAACATTTTTACAATTTAAGAAGAAACTATATTAAACAGGGTTTAAAGGAAATTAAAACAGAACTATGAGAAGTACAATTTGTTATAGTATAGTATCAAATTTCTATATAGATTTTATACCTCAGTGGGGAAAAATAACTGATTCCAATGACATTCATTTTCATCTGTGATAGTCATGGATGCTTTTTTTTTTTCCTTGGGGTGCTGAAATTGAGCTGAAAAAAATGGCTCTTTGAACGTAGTTTTAATTGCTTTCTTCAAGTTTTTTTATTTGGTTTATGGGTTGTTGAATTGTAATTTTTAATTGCCTTCAAAGAATGAAGATTTAAAATGTCCGGTCTCACTGAACACGTTAGATCTCTCAGTTGCTCTTGGATCAAGTGGCTTATAGACTTTCACACACACAAATTTATTAGATTTTAAACTTCTTAACTTGATTCAGCTGATTATGCTTAATACCCAAGATTCATACTACTGTACTACAGATTTATTTTCGCAGCAATAAATCTTCAGTTCTTTATGATTTCACTCAACAAAAGGCCTGCAAAAGTGATTTGGATATTTGGAGAGGATACATTGGATGGTTTTTTGGAAAACTTTTTTCACTCCATACTCAGATGTGCTTTATTGTCAAGTGCATATTTAGATTAGGTTCTTGAATTGTAATGATGATCTGTTTTTTTTTTTTAATAAAATTTGACTGAAAATGTTTGACATTGTTTTAATGAGTTAACCAAAGAAGTGCAGCTACTATTCCATCTTAGTCCTGCATTTCTTCCTAAATTCTTAATTTAGGTTAAATCCATTTTCCTTTTTTTCTGATTTTTATTACCACAAAATAACTTCAGAATCAATTAAAAGTTGAGTAAACAGTTTTAATTTCATAGATCTCATAGGTGCCATTTCTCCTGATATGTAAAGCAGTTCATTGGCAAAAGTGTGTGTATTTTCCTTGTTTGTAAGATTATATTTCGTGACGTTCTGTTCTTTGATTATCAAAGACTCTCACTGCAGGCAGTGCTATTTCTTGTGCCTAAGAATGTTTCTGAAAGTTGTATCACTAATGCTACTTGCGAAGTTGAGTGTATGGAAAGTTTCTCATCTTCTATTCAAATTAATCAGTATCAAGAATATCAAGCACATGTGGATGCTTTAGAGTAAGTTTGTAGTACAGAATGCATAAATTTTGTCCCCAGGAAATTTGCAGTGAAGCAGGTGCTGGGTTTTTTTTTTTTTTCCCCCCCTACTCCATGAGCTCTGTTAATTCTGTCTTCAGTAGACCTAATGTTTGAATAAATCAGATGTCTAATAAATTATTTTCATGCTCAGAATTTCAGGTTTTTGTACTCTAGTGTAGCTTGGTCTTATTTCTTACTGTAAGAAAGCTTAATAGAAATGTGATTTAAGGTTTTGTTGGTTTTTTTGTTTTTGTTTTTTTAAGAGGGGGATGCGAGTGATTTAATTCATGGGTACTTTTAGAACCTGATGGATAATCCCATTGCCTTTATTTTTCTAATTAAAGACTTCCTAAATACTTTGAAAATATAAAATATTCCTCAATAGTTGTGCCTTACATTGATTTTATTTGAAGTTAAAATGGATCCCTAGTCATTATATCCATTTGTAGATCAGGCAGTATGCTAACCACTCTGTTACAAGTCAAACTGGGAAGAAAAGAATGAATCAGAAAGAAAGTCAAGGATGAAAAGAGGGATTATTATTGGATCAGTGAAGAATTCATAAATGTGACAAGGATAATCTGAATCTCTCAAATGTATTCACCTTACTCCAATCCCAACCCATTTTAATGTCTTTCTGTTCTAACTGGCATTCTGAAAAAATAGTAAAATGAAGGACAGCACGTAGGCCATGTCCTCATTTCCCTATTCTACATTTAGCTGAAAAACAGAAGTTCTTCTCTAAAGGTCTGGTGCTCTCCCCATCTTTCAAGAAGTACACCAAGAGCAAACTGAACTCCAGAATTACGTGTTTTTTAAAGAAGAAAGAAAATCAGAAGTCAGTGTTTCTGAGGCAGTGTTTTGTGAGCAGAGGTATGCAAAGAATGAATCACTTTTTACTCTGGAAAATTAGATGTGTTCTCAGTTGTAGAACACTTTTCCCATTCTCTGACTTGCTGAAGTTTAACAATTTGCTTGATCAACCAGAACTAATAATTTTGCAGGAAATGAGGCAAAACTCAGCCGTACTGTCTATATACTAGCAACAATTAAAAATTAAAATTTAAAATCTTACCATCTGTAACCAAGTCAAATACCTAGAATGTTAATATGTAAGACTTCTACCCTACAAAACTACAGAATGTTGCTGAAACTACAGAACACTGTAATAAACATATTCATGAATTGAAAGGCTGCATACTGTCAAGATCTGTTTCCCACAAATTGATCTCTAGAAATCAAATTTCAATGAAATAAAAATCCCGTGAGGCTTTCTTGTAAAAATTTGCAGCAGACTCAGAACAGCTGAGATAATCTTAAAGTGTGTGTGTGTGTGGGAGGACGGGATTGGAAGACTTAACACTACTCAATTTCATGAATTGCTTTAAAATTACAGTAATTAAAAGTGTGATTAGAGTTAGGACAAACAGATCAGTGGATAGAATAGAGAGTCCAGAAGCAGACCCATACATGTGGTCACTGGCTTTTCAACAAAAACACCAGCAACTCCAGAGGGAAAGTCTCTGAACAGTTGATGCTTTCACACAGTGCACAATGTATTTCAACATGGATCACAGGACCTAAATGTATCTTCATGACTCTTGGGATACTCAAAGATATCTTAGGACATAAACTTCATATAAGGAAAAAAACTGATTGATAGGTTTCACAATTACACTCCTCTCAGCAGGAAGAGAGTAAAGTGAAAAACCATGCTGCAGCCAAGGACAGAACAGTTGCAGTATGCATAACTGACAAAGGACTCTGTGCAGGAAAACAACGTTTAAAAGCCACTGCAAAAGCAACACAATATAAAAGTTACTAAGTGACTTGAATACACACTTCACAGAAGCTATCCAGATGCACAATTAGCATAGAAAAGGGTGTTCAACATCAGCCATCAGGGAAGGCTGAATGAAACCACCAGGAAATATTCTTGCACACCTGCCTGAATAGTGAAAGTGCAGCAACTGCCAGAAGTGTTAAGTTAGTATAATCACCTTGGGAAATAGCTTGCCAGTTTCTTGTAAATACATGCCTACTCTGTGATTCCACTTCTAGGAATAAAACCCAAGAGAAATAAGGATATATTGCCCACATTAGGATGCATACAAGAATATTCAAAGCAGATTTAAAAGAACCCCCACCCTGGAAACTACTCAAATATCTGTCAACAACATAATAATCACATCATGGTTACTGAATACTAGTCTACAATTTTCAAAAATGAATTACTGGTAGAACAATACAGATAAATATAAAAATACTGAATGAAGAGTGCTAGACATATGACATTTATATACTCAAGAACAGGCAAAACCAACCTAAGGTGCTTACCTCTGGGTGAGTATAGACTTGAAAGTGGCATGAGAAAACTTTTGGCAACATGCATGTAATTTAAAGTTTTACTGAGCTATATACTTAGGATATACGCATTTTATCATATGTAAGTTATACCTCAGTAAAGTGCTGGGGGGGGGGAGTGGAATAAGATATTTACCTTGCTGTCATCAAGGTTTTCTAAAAAGTCTTCCACTGCTACAAAACACCCAAAGGCTGGCTCAGTTGCAATAAACATACTATTAAGTAAGATATTGAACTCACAAGAAAATACGGAAAAATTCATAAGGTCCAGGAAAAAAAAATTTACATATGAGCCACAGAAGTAATTGTTAAATATGAAAGTCTTTCCTCTCCTAAGAACAAAAGGGAATAACCAGAGTTTGGGGAATGGTAGCTCCTAGGCCTTGGGCCTGAACAAAGTTGGGGAATTGAACTGAAGATCCCTACATAAAATTCGAAATTTCAGTTACACCTACAAGTAAGAGGGTACATAAAGTAGTGTCCTGCTGTGTAAAGGAAAACAAAGGGTAATCTGACTGACTCTGCCCTTTTTTTTAGGTAGCAAGTGGTGATGAGGATGCCACCACTGTGATCATAAGACCTGCTTCTGTTTTAAGATTTTATTTTTATGTAATCTACACCAAATGTGGTGTGGATCTTGAACTCACCACCCCGAGATCAAGCATCACATGCTCCACCAACTGAGGCAGCCACATGTCCCAAGGTCTGCTTTTAAATAGTTGGAGTTTTTTGTTTGTTTGTTTGTTTGCTAAGATTTTATTTGAGACAGACAAGAGTGAGAGTACCAGTGTGGGGAGGGGCAGAGGGAGAAGCAGGCTCCCCGCTGAGCAGGGAGCGGGATGCGGGTCTGGATCCCAGGACCCCAAGATCATGACCTGAGCCCAAGGCAGACACTTAACCAACGTGAGCAACTCAGGTGCCCCTAGATCAAGAGTTTAAAACCACAGTTATGAAGACTGCAGATGAAGAAAATAAAGTGAATCTAGATTTATGGTACTTGCTGGAAACCATTAGAATACAATGTTTTTTGGAGGAAAAAAACACATAACCCAGACCCCTATATACCCACAAATTAAATAATGAAATCACTATCAGAAAGAGAAAATGAGCTACCAGTGTGTTACCAAAAAAAAAAAAAAGTTCTGGCAAAGTGACAACAGCTTGTGTCGGACTAAGCCTGCAATAAATTGATAACCCTGAACGTTTTTTAAACAATGTTTTAAAGCCCTGGAGAATGAACAAAACACAAAATGTAGGAGATTCAACCCTTATTAAAAAGGACCTTCTGGGTAAGATGACATACGTATAGCTTTTCTGCAAAGAGCATTCCAGTGCACGCAACACACTAGAAGTAGTGGTCATACAGATAGTGACTGTTGTCTTAAGCTGAGGAGTCAGAGATCTTATTTATGAGCAGAGTGGCTGGAAATTGGAGAATATCTGTAATAGGAGGGAGTCCTAGAGGAGCCCCCAAATCTGCATTCTAATTTCTTCAAATGCTTGACTGATCTAATTGTGCACAGGATGAGACTCCAAGAAGTCCAGAGAAAAAAAACTACAAGGCAGAATTGAGCAGAGATCTTAGCTGTTTCCCAGTACCAAGAACAGAGTTTGGAGTTAAAATTCTTCCCATTTGGAGGGGCTTGATAAACACGTTAGACTTTACAGGCATACCATTGGAGATATTACAGGCTCAATTCCAGACCACTGCAAAAAAGCAAATATTGCAATAAAACAAGTCAAATTTATTTTTTGGTTTCCCAGTATATATAAAAGTTATGTGTACACTATACTATAATCTATTAAGTGTGATGGCATTATGGCTAAAAACACCATGTCCAATGTATATAATTTGAAAATACTCTTTTTGAGAGAGAGACACAGCACGAGCAGTGGCTGGAGGGGCAGAGAGAGAATCTCAAGCAGACTCTGCTGAGCACAGAGCACATGGGGCTCAATCCCATAACCATGAGACCATGACCTGAGCCAAA